TACATACAATGAAGTAGTATCTAGCCACTAAAAGTTATGTGGAAGTGTGATGACAATAACATATTAAATGAAAAACAAATGCAAGGGCCGGGGATTTAGCTCAGTGGTGCCACAGCCTGCCTCATAAGCGCAAGATCCCAAGTTCAATCCCCGGTACCAAAAAACAACAAATGCAAGCAACAAAATAGTATTTTATGTTGGGGTTTTTTCTGAAAAGGTACATATATTCACGCACACCCTACAGGATTAAAAAGACTAAAATTAACCCCTACATTACTTAAGAGAATGAAAGTGGGTTAGGAAGCAATTTATCCCAAGTCTCCCTGAGCCACTCACATGTACTAATCAAAATTTTTATAAGACTCTGTACTTCAGGGAAGTAAAAGAAACCCTGTTTCATAAATGCAGTAGACAAAAGACAGAAAGATTGGTACCACCTACCCATCTCATTAATGTTACCTCTCCAACTCTATTCCCCAAAATCCACCAAAGATTTAGGGCAATCAATCTACCATCTCCCCTGAAAACAGAAAGACTTGTATTAGTAACTCTTCTTGGATTGCTACCAGGTAGCTGCTGGGCACTCCGAAAGGTCCTGGGAAACCAGGTGTATTCTAGTCTCCACTGGCCATTATCAGTTTGCACATCTCTGCATCCTGAACCTAGGATTTAGGCTCTGTGTTGCAACATTGTATCATCACAACTCCATCTCAGAAGGTGGGAACTATTACTTTCTGATGTATTTTCCACAAGGTAATCACATCAAACACAGAGGTTTACTTCTTACTAGTCTAATTATGAAGATTTTTCTACCTTTTTTTCTTAGGGACAAAAACTTTATTAACTCTAGGAAATAAAACATACCTGCTAACAAATGGCTGTTACTCAGCTTTCTAAACTAATACTTGAAGTACAAAACTGGCATTTGTTTCAGCATCTCTCAAGACAAAACAGACCTGAAGAACTTTAGGAAGTTTCCAACAGTGTGGGTAAAGTCATGGCTAGCTTAATGACATTTATATTCCGAGAAATGTGTCATTAGAGGATTTAATCCCTGTAAAAACATTGTAATCTGGGCGTGCTGGCGCATGCCTGTAATCCCAGCACTTGGAACCTGAGGGAGGAGGATGGCCACAAGTTCGAGGCTAGCCTGCACTACAAAGTCTCTGTCTCAAAAACCAAAACACAAAAACGAAAAAAAATCCATTGCAGAGAGTATTTACATAAAACTAGATGTTACAGGTCAGTCATTCAATAGTCTCTTTATTAAAAGACATGATAAACATGAAGTATATGAAGCTGCTGCTGGAGTAATACAGCATTGTTTTACAGTAATTCTTTAGTAAGTAACAGAAGTACATTCTAACAATAGAGAACCATGGTAATACATAATTTGTAAAAAAAAAAATACTAAAATCATTATTAGTAAGTGAAAATATAAATTAGAAAGTGTCCTTGATTTGCACATGCAGCAAATGCTCAAGTTTACTGTTTTGGCCATTTGTCTGTGAGGCCCAGGCAGCAGGGCAGACCGTGCCCCCCACTGCAGAGCATCAGGGTAAGAAACAGGAAAGCCAGCAAGTGAGTATGCAGCAAGGATTTCAACTCTACATACCCTAATATTTAAAAAATAAGAGAGAGGGCTGGGGATTTAGCTCAGTGGTTCCACCGCCACCTGCCTCAAAAGCGCAAGGTCCTGAGTTCGATCCCCGAAACAAAAAAAATAAATAAGAATAAGAGAGAATTTGGGCAATTCTGAGAAGAACCTCTTAGCCTCTTCTTATGGTTCAAAATACATAATGTTCAATGTTAAAAATCCATTATATTGGGCCAGGGACTTAGCTCAGTGGTTCCGGCGCCTGCCTTGCAAGTGCAGGGACCCAAGTTCAATCCCCGGTACCAAAACAAAACAAACAAACAAAAAACATTATATGGGCATTATTTTTAAATGTTTGTATGACATTTGTAGAACAGTTAACATTTTCCTAAATAAAGTGTTTTTGAGGAAGCATTTATGCCTGAGATCTATTGTTACTGACTTCCCAAACTCATTGTTACTCAAGCAGCCCACAGACCCTCCCTTCTTTTCCCTCTCTGCTTACCAAACCCACCACTCACATTTCTCAAGTTCTAGGAAACACACTGTACATACTACCATTCCAGTAATCTCTCCATGTTAAGAGAAATGTCTTAGATCAGATATACAAGCACCACTTCTCAGACTTCTATAGAAATAAAAAATTACAGGGAAAGGCTTAAAGGAAGGATGATACATTATTCAACTTAAAAGTTAATTCTTTATTCTAGGATTGTCCTTACTTTTTTAGTATTATAATAAGACAACAACCAATGCTTAGTTTTTGTCTTAACTGACCAAATAAAAGGTCAGTAATCTAGACAATCCCTAACCTAAGTGTTAAGAAATGAAAAGTAACAATTATAGAAAAACCCAGTGAACCCCTAAACTTAAATATTAGGATAGCAAGTACAAACTAAACCTTCCATGGGCGGGGGTGTTGCAGGACTGAGGTGGACATGAAAGACTGAGGAACTCAGTGAATCAAAAGGAATATTTAACAGTGACAAAGAAACTCAGATTGATCCAGCAAACAAGTGCAAGCAAAATACAATTTTAAGATTTCAGTATCTTATTCAGAAAAGACTAAGTATTAAGGGTTTCATTTTAGAATAGAATAAAATGCAGGACATAAAAAAGAAAAATTTTACTTTTAAAATGCAAAGTAAAGCTCATAATTTTCAACAATAATAGAGAAAAAAAGGATTTAAAAAGAGTATTACTGATTTACTTTTAACAAAGCAGCATATAGACAAACTGTAGTCAACAAGTCAGAATACTAGATCTCCTTTATGTAAACCCAGGTATGGCATGTGGCCTGTCCCACTCTGCTTCCTTTTCCTTAAAGGTTGTTGTGAAGACTAAATGCATTAAGAGATGCAAAGTTCCTAGAACAGTGCCTGGCACTAAGTGCTTCAAAAAATAGTTACACATACAGTTTTAAAACATGAAGAAACAAAGGTAATGACTAGAATGAAGAATATAAAAATTTGAGAGCAGTTGCTAACATACTTTCATAAAGTTCTTAAAAACTTCAGTACTCAGAATGCCCAAGGTCCTAGGTTCAATCCCCATCCTCATTAAAGAAAAAAGTATAACCATATTTATGTACATATGAGCTTATATGTGACATTTTAAACTCTAATTAACATGATAAAAAATTACCTTAAGAAAAAATCTGAATCCAGTTAGCACACCCTCAGTAAGAGTGACTTTCAATTGTTTAAAAATTTGCTTCCAAGGCTCAAGGATGCAAGAGCCAACTAAGGCTGCAAGTAAAGGATTGAGAGAAAGCACTTTCAATACTTCTATCAACTAAAAATATTCTCACCCAGCAGTACATTCACACAGGATTACTTGCCTGTATGTATGTCGATAAACCCAATTACTTAGAGACAAGCAAGTCTTTTAGCTAGAAATATCCTAATATTTTCTATTTCTATAGGAAAAATTACAGGCCAGACGATGCAGGCACCACAGTTTACAGACAAGGTATTTGCACTCCTCCTATCCACGCCCCCCACCCCACTCTTGGCCCATTCTGCATAACGGATTTCCCTAGGCAAGATTTCTCAGTTCATTCTGGCAAATGACCCTTTTGCCAAATCACCTCTACAGCAAAAGAGGATTACTAAAAGGAGTATGTTCATTTATAGATATAGTACACCCCGTTATTTCTTAGCACAGACGTTACCTACTTCCCTGATACTCAAAGGATTTTCTTTTCCTGCAGAATATCACTGAACTACTGAATTAGAAGCTGCATTTTTAGCAAGAGCCCAAATGATTCCCATGGACATTAAGGTCTGAGTGCTCTTTGACACTGCTATACTTATGATAACTAAAAATGTTCGTTCACATTTGAATTCTGGGATACGGCATGAAACTTATATGGAATTGGAAAAGCTCAAAGAGAAACAACCAATGTATAAATGAAATTCCTGCCACTGATACAAACAATATTCAAAGGTTTTTCACCAATGCCTACATTTAATGCTTCCTACTTTTATGCAACAGCACAACACTAACAGTTTGTATGTTTGTACTGGGACTATATTTTTAAGTACGAAGGAATGACTGGGTATAGAAAATTTCAGCGCCAACTGGCCCAAAAGTTTGCGATACACATGTTAAAATTCCGAGGTTTAGTCCAATTCAAAATTGACAAATCAAAGACTCAAAAAAGTTATTATACAGGGAAAAATCCTAAAGGATAGAAACTTTAAACTTCCCGGAGTTGAAACTACTTAACTATTATTAACCAAACTTTAGGTGGCTTGTAGACCAGAATCTTTTTTAGGAAAGCTTGTGTGTTCCCAGGAAAGTAGCTTAGGAGGAAAAATATATACATAGAAACTTTCACTAGCTGCAAAGTTTTTCTTCTCCGTAGGCCTCAAACTTGTAGTTCTTACTGGTGAACAGACGTAAGCCTTCCTATAACAAATGAAGAAGTGATGGACAGGGTTCTGTCTTCTAGAAGGTGCATTTTAAAAGGTTACAGGATTCCGGGTCCCTTTCGCTTCCGGCCTGTGAAGGAAGCGCGCTGCCCCGGGCTGAAATGAACAGGGAACTTGACCAAGTAGGAAGTGGAGCCTTGGCTCTGCGGCCGAGCCCGGCCCTGGGGCCACAGCGGGCCTCCTAGCCTAGCCCCGAGCTGGGGCGGCACCCCGCCTCCCTCCGCCCAGCCCCCACGCCGCCCGGGAAGCGCGCACACCGCGGTTGGCGCGGCGGCCGCCTCGGGCCCTCGGGTGGGGCGGCAGCAGCCCCCGCAGCAGCAACGGCGCGAGGGGAGGCAGGACTTGCGCTGCAGAGGCCGAGGGGGAGGCCGGGCGGGAGCGACTGCACGTGAGGCTGCACTGGAGGGAGGCGGAGGTGCTCTGGGGGCTTGGGCTTTTTCACGATTATCGTCATCATTTTGTTTTACCTGTGGCGCAGAAGGGCTCCCCAGCTCCTACTCCCTGAATCCTCCTCCTCCCCTTTCTCTCTCCCTCAGTCGGCCAGGCGCTCGCGGAGCCGGCCGGGCCCGGCCCGACCTGAAAGAAAACAGGGCGGGAGGGTGGGTGGCGGTGACCAACGGCCACGTGACCACGCTCGCGCCGTAACGACGGCCTCCTCCTCCCGCCCCTACCCCCCCCCAGCCCCACGCCGCACCGCACCGCACCTCTAATAACCCCGCGGCCCTCGCGCCCGGTGAAGCTCGTGCGCAAGCGCCGGCCCGGGCCTAGAGAATGCGCGGGCGCGCGAGGCGCTCGCTCTCCGGCCCAGGTGTCCCGGGCCCTAGAGGCGCGAGGCGAGCCCCCGAGGCCGAGGCCACCGGGGCGCATGCGCACAAGGGCTTTGACGTTTGCTCCCCTCTTCCCACCTGCGCGCCGCTGGGGCTGGCAGCCTGTTAGCGGGTCATAATCCGGCGTTCACACTCACCGTGACCTTTCCTGGATGGAGGAGAGAGTTCAACTTCTGGGGCACTCCTAAGAGTCTGACCCTCCTGCCGAGGATTTTGCATTTCCCTGTAAGTGAAATAACTGAGTAAACTCACCCAGTTCACCTGTCACGGAAATTTATCCATCTCTGCTTTATGAGACTCACTAGCACTTTGTGCAGACCTACTTTGTAATATAGCCTGTAGAAATACCAGAGTTATTTTTTACAATCTCACTGTGCTAACCTCGAGTTTTATTTTTCCTCAACCCTGTGACAGTTTCAGCCTTGAGCATCTCCCTAGAGGTGTGACGACTGACCATCAGAGTGCAAGCAGTGTTTAAACCCTACTCTTGTTGCCCTCAGTATGCCTAACAATGATTTAAGATTCTCTTTAACCCGAGCACATGGAATGCTGGTGTTTATCTCCCCAATATGAAAGCCTTTGAATGGTAATGCTAATTAGGGTGGTAAATGCCTCACCTAGTAAAAAAGATTTATGATCTCTTATTAGCCTATCTTTACAAAGAGCGCTGAAAGAGATTGATTCAGTTGAAGTCCACAAAAAAAGAAACCAAGGCAGAGAAAGATCATATTTCCAAAAGTTATCCTCAGAGGAAGGCGCCTATGTGGGAGACCTTTGTTCTGTTCAAATGCTTCTCTTCACACAGGGATTCCTTCTTTTTCTGTTGTGCTTCTGTAGGGAAGCTGATTGGGTTGTTAGTGCCCTTGGCTAGATTTAATCAGAACTAATAAATAAAATTTTAAAACTTTCAAATGAGAGTTCTGGCTAAACTAGTTATCCACCATTACGAGTGAATACTAAGATGATGGTCAAGAAACAGGGCTAACAACAACATCCTAGAAAATGTTGGAGTATCTGTAGTGTGTGGAGAAACAGTACAGACATCGTTCCTGTCTGTGGTAGTACAAAGGCTATTCACAGTCAGTAGAAACTGTTATTTTGAAATTTGAAATTTTTCACTTTTCCCCAGCTAGTACATGATTCTTGGGATTTTGATTCTCTGCATGGACAGCAAGTTGTAGCTTGCAGAAACCAATGTAAACATCCTATATTCTACAGTGTATAAATGGGCTTTCTTCCCCAGTCCTAAAAACATTTCTCACCCCAGATCCTCATCATCTCTTTCCTAACCTACTGAAGATTCATCAGGTTCTTCCACTTTGCAAAGAAGAGTCACTGAGTATCCAGATTACTTAAGAATTATTGTCAAGCAAAAAGTGAGGAGGTGGGGAAAACCAGCCCTATTAACTTTATCCTGGTGGTTCCCAGTCTGGGAGACCCAGATGTCCTCATAGAATACAACTACACTGACTTTTAGGCCACAACTAAAGTTCTAGGGACCCAGCTTCTCTCTGACTTCTCACTTTCTCACTCCCCAGGAAAAAACCTAAGGAGTCTGCTAGACTGTCGATACAGAGCATCCTGACAAGGCAGAGAGTGGCCTACAGTCTGATCTTGAAAAAAGAAACTAAAGTAATAAAGCTAATGATTAATAACTCCATAAAATATAAACATTGTATAAAAATCCATTTAGAGTTATGCTACTTGTAATACAATTTATGTGTTTTAGGTAGAAGAATTAAATTAGAGCCAACATCACAGCATTGTTAGAAAAATAACAGCTGTGGCATTTGGTTTTGCAGCTGCCTATATGCTAGTTGAGTTTCTGCTTTGATATCTATGTGCCTTCCTTCTCTTGGGACATAGTACCAAGAGAACCACAAAAAATACAAATGTTCTTCCCAAGAAAACTGGAAGCTAAGGGGACAGCCCTTGACAATTACTGGCTTTCTCATAGGGCTCTACCTATGTGAACCCAGCCTACCCCACTCTGGCCAGGCCAACTTCCACATCCCTTCTTCTAGCTCTTTTCTCCTCTACAACTCTCAACTTGCACAAATAAATTGGCCATTATCAGATCCTGAAATTGCCATAGTGACCTGGATTAACCTGATAAGATATACATCCTGCAGTGTGCTGTTGACCAGTGGGGAGAGGGTTGTAGTAGGCATGGGCTGTGTATGGGACCAAAGTCAAGAATTGTCTCTTCCTTTCAGGCTGGGTTGTGGCTCAGTGATAGAGCACTGGCCTACCACCATGAGGCTCTGGGTTCAATCTCCAGCACAATATTTTGAAAAAATCAAGTTTTGTTTCCATTTATGGAGTCCATGGAAATATTCTATTCAGGTCTCAACCAGAACTTTCTTAGAGCTGGACCACAGTCTAAGGCTCTTCTTAACCAAACTTCCATCTTTCCTCCATAGCATTCCCAGGTGACAGATCTGCATTGTGGTCTGGCTCTCCTTCCACTCATCCTGTCTCCTTCCCTTTATCTTTTAGTGGTGCCCTCCTGATAAAGTTTTGTACACTCATTCCCATCTTAGCTCTATTACTTTTCTGAGAACCTGGACTAAAACATATACCCATCCTGGGACTTCTCTGACCCATTCTCATACCACAGTTACAAGTGACTACTATGTATATCAAAAATTCTAAATAATTATGTAAGTTCTTCAGTTTTGAACAACTTTTCATCTGCCAGAACTGTCCATTAAATGCAGCCAACCCCAAGTAAAAAACAAAAGGCTAAAAGCCTTTCATTTTTAAGAAAATAAATATTTTTTAATTATTTTGACTATAAAGGTGATTAAGATTATAATAAAGAGGCTAAAAATTAAAATTTCTAAAAGTTTTGTAGGGTAACATGGCACTTAGGTACCCCACTCCCCAGTCTTTGTTCTTGTAGCAGATACTTTGGGGGCTGTTTGACCAGCTCATAAATATCAACCACCGTCCTTTAATTACATACCTCTTTCTCCCTCCTCCTAATCCTTCATCAAGAACTTGAAAGAAAACATGTTGATCAGTTTCTCTTTCTGAAAGAATTGAGAATTAGGATCAAAAGGCAAATAGTAATCTTTGTGTGGTGAGCTGTAAAACTCAAGAGACTAGGCCATTTTATCAGCAAAATCCAAGGAAGAGAATAGAAACCACTTCATTTATTTACAACAGAGGGACTTTACTCAGAGTATGAATCACACATGTGATGGAATTGATGCATTCCAAAGAAGCAATGGGGGTGTTGCCCACAGATTACTAACAGTAGGAGAAAACTGGACTACCTTTTAGCTAACGAGACACAGAAAAATATCATGGTACTGAGACTCCCAGGATAACGTCATCTAGTTCAACCTATACCATGGTACATACAGAATCTGAGTAATTTTATGCAGAGAGAAATACTTTGGGTAGTTTTCCTTGGAGGGAGCTATAAGCCTAATAGGTACTCACAAGGTACATCCACTTTCCACCAACTACTTCAAGGAGTGGGAAAGGGTCAGTTTTCCAAAGAAGGATCATGGCTGTTTGGCAGAAGGGGAAGAGAAATTTGGCAGATAAAACAATATGTGTTCACTACATTCCTTTTGTTAATTACCCAGCACATGTATATACTTTTTCTCATATATAATTTCAAAACAACCTCACCTGATATAACCATTTATTAATCCTGTTTTAAAAAATAGCTGTGTGTCACCCAATGCAGAACTTGCAAACAGAAGCAAAGTTGTGCCGAAGGTTTTATTTGCAAACTGAATTGTTTGCAAACAGAAGCATTTGTGAAATGAAGTGGTACTGTACTATGTTTCAGCCACTGTCTTTTTAACCATTTTTAAACCCATATACTTTATACCCTACCTAATATAATATGTAAGATAGTGTATTTTGTTAACTAATGGGTTATATGAAAAATTATCTAGATCACTTTTTAAAAACATAAATAGACGTGTCCAATTGCCCTTAAGAGGAAATTATGTGAAAAGAATTTTTGCAACATTTGTGCTTTTGGTCATCACCAGGGCAAACATGCTCTAAATTGCTCTTAACCCCCTTCTGCAATGCTGTTTCTGCCTCCCCTCAGACTCGCTACATTGGAGCCAGCCATTGGTTTCTGAGCATGGACTGAAACTTCTGAAACTGCAAGAGACCAGCTTGAAACTGCACTGAGCAGGCTTTAGATATTATTGGATTGGCTTATGAATTCAGCTATTGATTAAAATTATGAGTCATTCCAAGGCCTATGTGTGTCTTGCTAAATGAGTCTTCAGCTGGTGTACAGAGAGGGACTTCCCTGTGCTGATGGTCACAATTGTGATCTCAGTGATCAATGAGATTGTGATGTCTCTAATAGCAAGAAAACACTACAGCTGAGGAATTATGACTCTGCAGCCATTCTCCAAGATCAAAAGTTAGCTAAAGATAACGCAGGTGGCTTATTAGCTATGACCCGCAAGATGGCACAAATGGCTTGTTAACTGTGACCTGTCCTTCACAAGAAAGCATTGTTCCTCCCTTTTATAGCCTGGCTCATTAGTGCATAAATTCTGCTATTCCCTACATCTCTCCCCACCCCCACCCCTGCTATGTTATACAATCATAAATGCTGACTAATCCAGAGATCTTGGTCTTAGCCAGGATAGAGATAATATCAGGTAGTCTTAGCCAGGTCAGAGGTAAGATCAGGAGGTCTTACCCAGAATAAAGCTAAGATTAATTCCCAACCTCCCAAGTAATAAACTATCATTTTAATTTTTTATTCCTTGTTCTTTGTATATTATTCTTTCATCCCCAGCTGTATCCTCAATCAGGCAATCCAGCATCCCTCAATAAACTAACTGGTGGTTGGGCCTTCACCCGACATGAAACAATGAGACAAAATAAATCTTTACTCCTTTAAGTCTTTTCCTAAGTATTTTGTCACAGCAGTGGAAAGCTGACTAACACAGAAAATTGGTATCAAGAGCAGAGTCATTGCT